TGGCCCAAATTGGTCAATGAGACAACTGGCCCTGTTATGGTTTGGTTTATGTGGCCCAAATTGGTCAATGAGACGACTGACCCAGTTATGGTTTGGTTTGTGTGGCCCAAATCAGTCAATGAAACAACCGGCCCAGTTATCGTTTGGTTTATGTGGCCCAAATCAGTCAATGGGACAACTGGTCCAGTTGTGCCCAAATCTGTCAATGCCACAAAAGACCTAGTTGTGGTTTTTGTCCCAAATGGGTCAATGCCAAAACTGGCCCAGTTATCGTTTGGTTTATATGGCCCAAACCGGTCACTGAGACAATTGGCCCAGTCACGGTTACTCCCAACAAAATATTAACAAAAATTATAMAGCTAAAAACATCAAGAGTACTGCAAATATTTATTATATCAGATRTTCAATTAAAACAATAAGGGGTGCCGTTAAAMTTTGGTCAGTTTCAAGTTATTTTGGAGGGAGTTAATTTTTTAATTTGTTTTGATTGACCAACAAATTCAACACAAACCTAAAACAAGTGTTTCTTTCTAGTTTAATYTCTGTCGGTTGGAGCCTGACTGGTCTTTGTTTCCTGAAGGTGGGCATACCCCTCAATGGGTTGGTGATCTGGGCACTTGGAAGGCGGAGTTCTCGTCACCTGGCTCGCAGGGGAAGCAACGAGGAGACGCACGCCGCAAGCAGTTTCAGAGTCTACGTCTTAAACCTGGCCCTGGCTGACATGATCCTGCTCATGCGGACTCCCCTCATGGTCGGCTACCTCATCCACAAGTACAGTTGGCCGTTTGGGAAGGTCTTCTGCAGCCTGATCATGTTCCTGCGAGGCCTGGGGCTGTACGCCTCCGCGTTCCTTCTGTGCGCCGTGGCCGTGGAGCGCTGCCTGTGTCTGCTGAGGCCCGTCTGGGCTCGGCTWCGACGACCCTACTGGGCAGTTCCTCTGACCTGTGGCCTCTTGTGGCTCGGGGCCTTCGCATTCTCGGCMCCGTACTTCCACTTTGCTGTTTTGGAGGAAAAAAACGGGACGTATCAATGCCAGGAGAGCGGGAAGTTCAACATGGGTTTGTTCGTGACAGAAACAATAGCAGGCTTTTTGTTGCCTCTTCTGGTATTCCTTGGGAGTAACCTGGCCGTTTTGTTGACCATCAAGAMCGCCGTGCCTCCAACGCCGACCTCCACAAACATATCGATGGYGCGGAAGATGACGAGGGTGTACCACGTGCTCTTCAGCACCATGCTCCTCTTCCTCACCTGCTGGGTGCCCTACTTCGTTTGTCGGTTTCTGCAGGCGCTGACGCCTGAAATGACTTATCAGTACATTTTATACAAATACGCCAAATACATCTCTCTGTTTCTGGTGTACATTAAGAGTGCTCTGAACCCGGTGCTGTATGTGTTCGCCGCCAGAGGCCTGGGCCGTGCCATCAAAGCGTCGGTCGTCTCGACAATCGAACGACTTTTTAACGAAGACTCCTTCGAGTCGATAAGGAGGAAGTCTGTCAAGAACTCGCAGATCTAGCCAAGAGGTCAACATCATTTCAAGTTTAATGGTTTGTGTTAAATGTTTGTCAGCTTTACGAATGTGAGTCAAGAGAAACTGTTTTTCTTTTAAAAGTTTTAAACCCATTGAACCAGTTAAAGAATGTTTTTGTTGTTTTTCCTTTTGTTTTGTACATAAAGGGTAGGTTTGTTTGCACAATAAATAGGATCTTTTGTATAAAGCATGTTTTTTTCATGTTCTTAAAGTAGAATCCTGTGTATTTTCTACAACCAATAACCCTAATTAAGATGTTTAAGGGATAAGGGATTATGTATCCTCTCTGGCCTGGGATTGCCTAGGGCAGGGGTTCTCAAGCCATTTGGGTCTGGGGACCCTTTACAAGGGCGAAAAAATTCCAGGGACCCCCTCATAAACCCCATGCTGTTTTAAAAGGATAATTTATTGTAATTTCAACCCCTAAATGCCATGAGAATATATATTTTTATTAAGTTTATTATATTTGTTTTATTAGCTCATTGTTCTCCATGAATTAAAAAAAAAAAAAATTAACAATTTAGTGAAATTTTTTGAGGACCCTTTCACGGACCCATGTTTGAGAACCTCTGGCCTAGGGGACAGTGTTTCTAGGGAGAGGAATATCTGGTAGGGATGCACGATATATCGGCATTAACATCGGTATCGACCGATATTGGTAATTTTTTAGAATTGGCCCGATGTGTAAAACTGGGCCAATATTAAAGTCTGATATTGATTTCCCACTTTTTAGCTTTGTGTTCCTGTTTTTGGAGGCAAAATGTTTGGTCGAGTGGTATCTGTTTGATCATGATAGTGATATTGTCGATGCGCAGCCGGGAATAACTTAAGTGGAGCCATGTCAGAGGTCTGCGAACAAGTGTTTGTGCAAATATGCATATAAATAATTTGTGTTTGTGTAATATCGGTAAATATCAGTTATCGGCCATAAGAGCAATAATTATATCGGATATCGATAYTGGCTGAAATTTTCATATCGGTGCATCCCTAATGTCTGGGTTTATCTCCTGGACCTGTTGCCTYYACGACCCGACTATGGATAAGCAACAGAAGATTGAGACTGTAGCTGTAGACAGATATGTTAGGTTTCAAAAGTAAAATTGTTTTAAATAATGTTAAAACCCCTCAAATCTTAATACTTGGTARAGCCTCTTTAGGGCCTTGGTCTGTAATGTTTTTGGACTTTTTGTCCATTTTGCATGACCAAACTCCTGCAGCTCCTCCAATCTTTAGATSAAACCAGAAGTTCTCATTTAGACTGAGGGCTGGRCTTTGACTGGACCATTCCAGGACCTTCAACTGGTTCTGCTTAAACCATTCCAGAGGGTCTTCAGCTGTGTGTTTARTGTCATTGTCCATTTGGAAGGTAAACCACCGCCAAAGTCTCAAATCCCTGGAATTTCTCTGCACTTTTACTCCATCAGTCCTTCCTTTCCTTTAACTCGGACCAGTTTTCCATGATGCTGCCACCGCCGTGCTTCACTTTGACCCCCCGGATGTTTCTCCTTGTTCCGTCCATGCGTTTTGGTGAACGACTCTCACAAAAGCAGGTTTGCAGAGGCGACATCATCTTTCCATTTCTTAATAATGGATGATCAAGGTTCTGGGACATTTTATTTTTCTCCTCCCAACTTTGTCTCCGACAGTTCTGTGGTTTTACGAATGTCACTTWCTTGGCAGCTCAGATCATTTGGACACTTAGCTTGTTTAGAGATGAACTTATTTAAACGTCTGAGTCTTTGAAGTAAATTGAATATTTATCTACTTAATTAATAATTAATTARTAAAGTAAAAATCCAGATAAATTTTAAGTTGTAAAGGCAACACAATAAAAAGATTGCCAAGGAGGACAAATATACTTCCTCGTTCATACAAATCAGTGACAAAAAGAGAAAATTTTATTTTGAGGAGCTCATTCTTGGTTTTTTAGCGAACTGTTTTGAAACTTCCTCAATTTGCAAATAGTTCAGAACCTTTTTCCAGACCTCAAACATTTGTTTCAACCAGATGAAACAAAGAAAAAAGTCTTCTTTGCTGAATCTTCAAATCACTTCTAGATAAAACTGCAGGCTGTTAAGTGTGTTTGAGTTATTGATCCTAGGATTTGTCAAGACAAAATTCAACAATGAATCATGGCTACAGGGAGTCTTCCTGGATCAAAGAGCAAGTTGCTGCTTGTGTTCAGGCATGCTGGCAACAGGGTCACGGTCAGAAAAAAAAAAAGTCATGACAAGTCCCGCCTGCAGACAAAAACTGCTTGAAGGAGGGGGAAATAAAACCAAAAGCATCTTTCTGGCTCAAGAGGAAACATTTGCTAAATAAATTCTAACACCTTCAAGATTACATGCAGCACTTTTCTTTAAGGAAATGACTTTAGGGTACAACTTTAAGGAAGTGACATTCTAGTATTTTAAATTATTGCTTCAAGTTCCCGTCCGCAGACCAAGTGAGTTTGTGTTACGAGTGCTGGATTCCTGCAGGCGTTAAATAAGCTGCTGCTTGTCCMTGTTTGTGTGCACAGAATGCAACCATTTAAAACAAACAATCTTTATTTGCAACTGTGTTTCAGGAAAATGTAAAATACAGATTTGTTTTTGCAAGTATAATAAAAAGCAGCAAGGTGCAGCTGAATCGTGTCAAACTTTCTGCTGAAACAAACCACAAAACACCAAATTCAGGGAAGCAAAAACAGAAAAAACATCAGAAATTAAGAGTTTTTTTTTTCGTGTTTCAGTTTTTCAGTCTGAGTCAGATCGTGTGTTGAAGAGTTGATGGGCGTGTTTGTGTGCCTGCAGCAGCAGCACCTGAGCATCCCGGGACGCCTCGGGTTCCTGCAGAACTCCCCCCAATTTCTGAGCGACGGTCTCGCGTGCGCCGTCCGGTAAAATCTTTCTCAAACGTGACTGAAGGAAAAAAAAGAAACCCACAAAAAAAAAAACATAAACGGACAGAAAAGGTGTTTTGATGCAATCAGCACTCACGGCAGGGATCTGATGCTGTAACTGTGTTTCATAAGGTTTCAAAAGAGTTTTGCAACATTTCAGACATTTCACCACACACCATGCTTCAAGGTTTCCTGTCAAAACTTCAGGAGGAAGCAGACTCAGACTACCTCACATCTGAGTTTTAATTTTTTTTTWATTTTACAAAGCTGCTGTGCAAAATCATCAACTAATAAAGACTCTGCAGCTTGAGCTCACCTCAAATGCAGTTTCCTCTTTGTGTGGAGGGACAGGAGGAAGCCTTAGAACAGCTCGATCAGATAATTCTAAAATCTACAAGAAACCAGGAAATAAYAAGCACATAAAATAATTTGCGTTGGCTCATCATCACGTCAAAATCTTTGGAAACAGACGCTTCTAATCTCTGCAGCTGTTACTGAGAACTTAGTTTCATTTCATATCAGGTCAAACCTGTTTTCTCAAGCATCCTGCGCAAAAGTCCCAACAACTTTTTTAAGTCCAGGTCAAGACCAGGTTTATTCAACAAGTGGCTCGTGGGCCAAATATGGCCCTTTGTGCGATTTCTTCGGCCCATCACAAATTTAAATAGATAATAAATCAATCAGAACTATATGAGTTTTGACATGTTTTTATCAAGCACCTTGGCAGAAAAGATTATTCCCATGAAAATAAATAAATCAGTTAATACGCTGACATTAGCACAACTGAGTTTAGCACCTGTTTAGCTTTCGCCTCCTCTTCCTCCAGTTTGTCTCTCAGCAGGCTGCACGTCCGCTCCAAAGACGCCGTCTGCTCCTCCGTCGTCTCCAGCGCTCTGACGACAGCCTTCAGGTTTCTCTGAAGACACGAAATRTTAAAAAACACAAACGTGAGCAATCTGATTTTAATTAACCCTCCTATCGTCCTTGGGGTTAAATTGGACCCMGTTCAATGTTTATCATTCAAAAAATAGTAGTTGGCTTTTTTTTTTCTTTTGCTTCGTATTTCATGACTTTTCCGAATTTGATGCGGAAAACTGATAAAACATAAAATTTTCATGAAGATATTTTTTCAATGAGCTGAACACATATTGCATGCATTGGTCGTCCTCAGGGGTCAATTTGACCTCAAGCTGTTTTAGCTGTTAAAACGTGTCTCTCAGTGTGCGTGACCTAACATGACCACACCTGCAGGTGCAGTTGATACATTTGAGTTGGTATATTTTGTTTTATTTATTATTTATTTTGACACTTCCCGCACCGTGGGCATGAATGTGTGTGTGTGACCTTCTGAACTCACACCTGTCAAAGTATTAGGGCTGTGTATTGGCAAGAATTTGGCGATACGATACATATCATGAC